GGTGCTTTTGTGGTACTCTTCTACTCAGGGGTCACTTCCAGCTGAGTTCAGGGAACCATATGCTGTGCCAGTGGTAGTACTGGGGTCAGATGCCAAAAGCAAGGTGGACAGCTTACTTCTGTACTGGTCCATGGTTTCTCTGATCCTGTAAATAATTAGGTGCCTGAGTCTGGACCTTGGTAGGAGACTTGTAACCGCCTTCTTTGAGTTCACTTTCAATTTTTCTGGTTTATTCAGTTGGATGTGACTGAATACTTTGACTCATTCTTATGGTATTCAGGCCCCCTTAGTACTTACTTTCTTGTATTTTTGTGTGTTTTTTTAATGTGTAATTATTACACTAATCAAATGACTACTATCAGAGGAGGTCAGGCATGGTTACAATTTTTATTGTGTTGAGCTTTTGGCTGGAGAATTTCTTGGGGAAAAATACACATTCAATCTGCATTTGAGGATATAATATTTGAAAAATGTGCGAATAATAGCTGTCTCAATAATTATATGGATTGTTGTTTCTAAGAGGGACTAATTTCTTCTTAATGTCTATAGTACTAAGTAAAATAATTGGAAGTATTAGAGAAACATTTAGTGGCCCCATTTCAGAAAGAACATAGTTACATGACTTTCCAGAATGTAAAAATCAGTTTTGATTCACAAACTATTCATAGAAGTCTCAGTATGGTATGGAAGTTGTGGTTATTGGGCAAGATTCTGAGATTTATTTTCAAACTTATTCTTTGTTTTTTTTTTTTTAATTTTTATTAGACACCATGAGGTACATTTGTAAAGGTAAAGGTAAAGGTAAAGGCCCTCCCGTTGATCGTTGATTTGCTCGAGCGGGCCCAGTAATGTCTCCATTGGAGACTTTGTTGTTACTGTGTCTGGCATATCGGATACTCTCGGTAGCTTGCCAGGCTCTCCGAGAGTGGCGGAGGAATCGAACTCGGGTCGGCCATGTTGGCCGCTTGTAAGGTGAACGCCCTACCCGCTGTGCCGAGGTACATTTGTAGACTTACAAATTTTGTGCTAAAAATATGGAACACTTCACGAATTTGCCTGTCATCTTTGCGCAGGGGCCTTGCTAATCTTCTCTGTATCATTCCAATTTTAGTATATGTGCTGCCAAAGCAAGCACACTTATTCTTTGTTTTTTTTTAAAAAAAAATATTATTAAAAGATTTTTTGGGAGGGTGGTCATAGAGGTGCTTAGGGCTACTCCTGCCTCTGTACTCATGGTCACATTGGGAACCATATGTGGTGCTGGGCATCACACCTGGGTTGACTGCATGTAAGGCAAGTTCCCTACTTGCTGTACTGTCTTTCCTGTCCCTGTTGCTGTCCTTTAAAAATATATATAAGCCATTAATGTAACTGGGAATACCCTTTTTGTTTAAATTTTCAACTTGCTCAAGATAGTGAGGGCTTTCACAGCGTATTTGTTGCTTTTCTCCTTTTTTTCTTTTTTTGAGATGACTCATTGGTAGTACCTGTCCCTACAACTGTGTGTTTTTCCCATATGTAGCATGCATAGCATTCCCCACATCTCTGTTGTTTGACATATGGAGGGAAAACAGACCATTAACTTACTCATTCATAGAGATGAAGTGGCTACTTCCTCTGCTATGAGTCCTCATTATTCTTTATGGTGAGGAGTGAGACCAAAAGTGAACTGAGGAAGTAGTGGTTTGAGTAACCATCATATCCTCTTTGTTTGATCCCCTGTCTCTTTTGTGGTTCGAACAACTTAGTATGTTTGTAGGACTAGTACAGGGACAGTCCTTAAAGAAAATTTTAGAGGTGAGTGTCTCACATTAGCTCATAGGCATTTCTAGGTGGCCCCAGCAAAATGATGACAAGTGAATCAAAGAAGACTGCCAGTATGTGAACATTTTAATAATTGGAGAATTATCTGTCTCACCCTTTGCCATTTTCTACTTGGTCATTTCAGGATTTCTAATCCCATGTCTTTTGGTTTTGTTTGGCATGTGTGTATGGTACTAATATTCACTTATTGGGATAGTTACGTTTATTTCAAATTGTGTTTTGTGTCTTTCTAAAGATCCTTTGCATTAGTTTTAGTTTGAAAATACTTGGGGTTGAATGAAGATGTTGTATCAATCCTGGTAGGAGGAGCTAGCATTCTTGCAGTTTCGATGAAGACTTTCTTTTTCTATATACCAGGGGTTCCCAAATGTATTTGGTCTCCCACTTTCCTTTCAGAAAATTCAATCATTCGGTGCCCCTTCCCTCCAAATTACCTGCCTTAAACAAACAAATACTGTCCTCCCATTGTTCATCGATTTGCTTGAACGGGCCCAGTAATGTCTCCATTTTTGTGACTTGTTGTTACTGCGTTTGGCATATTGAATATGTCATAGGTAGCTTGTCAGGCTCTCCGAGAGGGGTGGAGGAACCCAACCCGTCTCGGCCGGGCTGGCTGCATGCAAGGCAAATGCCCTACCGCTGTGCTATCGCTGCAGCAACCAAACAAAAATGAGAGGTGGTCCTTGGAGGCTTATGTTGTCCTCTGTGCCCGCCTGTTTCCCAGTATTACATCATTGCCAATCTACTGGTGGGAAGGGCACTATTGCCCATGTTGGGGACCACTGATACGGGCCGTACCATAACATTTCATTTGGAAATCTGATATTTTGAGTGAAGTCCAAAGTCACTATTTTATCCTAAGGCCTTTGAGATATGCTATCTTAAGACATAGGTGTATCCTCAGGGATTCCAAGAACAGTTCTTTGCATTCAGTAGGTGATCAGTAAGTGTTGAATTTTATTAATACAAAACTTTTTAAATAATTCTTTTCTTCTTCACAAAACATAGACTTTGGAGAAAACACCTATCATGTTAATTGCTTCTCAATTCCTCTTTATAACATGGGTGAAAGGAAGGCTTTTGGGGATGGAGAAGGGACCCTTGCACTTTGTCAGGCTTCTGATGAAATCTTTTGTGCTAGTGCTTCTTAATCCAGCATTTCCCTTTTTCTGTGGAGAGTATGGGGTGCACTCCATGTGGAGGCTCAGTGGAGTCAATATACTTAAACAATATCGTTGTCATCTTTATAGATAGAGCCAGATACTCATGTACATAAGACGTGTGCTGTACCACTAAACCACGTATCTAGTCCCAAGTCAATACATTGCACTGAAATACCTACTTGGTATAAAGCATATTTTAGGCTATATATATATATATATAAATAAATATATATAAAGTATTGCCATTGAGGATTTATCTAGTTGGAAAGGCAAGATGGAAATGCATTAAGAATTAATAGCATTTAAAAAAAAGTAAAGAAAATGGAGAATTAAAAGTATGGCTTGAGAGATATTTTAGGGGTTAAAGCATTTGCGTTGCCTCCATGCATCTGACTGCAGTTTGATTCCAATTACCACATGCTCACCTCAGCTCTGCAGGAGTGATCTCTGAGAACAGAGCCAGGAGTTGTTCCTGAGCACCATAGGTGAGCCTGCAAAATTATTAACAATAGGACAGGGGGAAAAAAGCAACAGAAAACAACAGCAAAGTAATTTTTGAGAATTCTTACATTGTATCATGTTGTGGTTCTCAAATATTGTAAATTGTGCCACAGAGGCTTGTTAAATATAACCTCCAGAGTCCATTCCAATATTTGCTTATTCATTTGGTTGAGGCGAGTATTTGCAGTTATCCAGAGTGAGTATTGGCAATTATCAAAAGTTCCCGGGTGAGTGATGCTGCTGGTCCAGAGACCACACTAGATAGACTGATGTAAAGTCGCTGTTCACTACTGCAGTACACTCATGCAGGGACCCCATTCCAATTACACCAGAATTAGTGTCCGGTGGGAACAAGGGTTGTGGATGTGTACTCACTGGTCTGATGTATGTCTAACATAGAACTTTATGGTTCAGAGGCAGATTATGTTACTATAGGCTGTAGTGGAAGGGCATATGAGAGGAATTATTTAGACTGTAACAAATGATAAGTGAAGAGAAAGGAAGGATTCATGTAGTTGTATGAAGATTATGCTGTGAGTAAATCCAACTTGTTTTCTAGCCATTTGTGAGGATAAATTGATGAACTAGTGAGCTCCGAGTCAGAAATTGGTCTCATTTTCCTCCAGCAATGGCCAGTGAGTGAGACTGGCAGAGGCGCTTGTCTCCACCATCAGTAATATTCCCTCATTGGCCATCCTCACTTCTTCCTAATTTAGACAATAGTATGTCTTTATAGCATTTTGTATGGTTAGTACTCTTGGATTGTGGTAGGATTCAGGCTGTGGGATAGGCTAAGCTGTGAAAGATAATTTACTAATCTTAAATTTAATCTCTATAATTTTATGATTGTTTACATAAAAATTAAAGTACGACACAGTTACTGACATTCATTGTATGTAGATACCAGTTGAACTTTAGGAACATTACTCTGTTTGTCACAAGAACTTTAGAATCCAGCAGTGGAGCAACAGTTTTTGTTCAGTGAATCCTTATTAGTTGAGTGAAAGTAATGATGAATTTTTGTCTGGAAAGGCTGTCATTTTTGAAGAGGAGCATATATGTCAGTATTCAGGGGTTACTCCTGGCTATGTGCTCAAGGATCACTTTCGGTGACCATATGTGGTACCAGGGATCAAACCCGGATCAGCAGTCTATGAGTAAAGCATTATACTCTCTTTCGGGCCTGGAAAGATGGCCTTGCATATGACACTATGCTCATGTGATGGCAAGAAACATGTTCCCTAGAAGCTTTAGAAAATACTGCTAATTTGTATGTCCCAACATGGTAAAGAAATATATAGTAGAAATAATGGTAAAGGTAAAGGTAAAGGCCCTCCCGTTGATCGGCGATTTGCTCGAGTGGGCCCAGTAACGTCTCCATTGGAGACTTTGTTGTTACTGTGTTTGGCATATCGAATACTCTCGGTAGCTTGCCGGGCTCTCCGAGAGGGGCGGAGGAATCGAACTCGGGTCGGCCATGTTGGCCGCTTGTAAGGCGAACGTCCTACTGCTGTGCTATGACTCCAGCCCGCACATATACTAAAATTGGAACGATACAGAGAAGATTAGCATGGCCCCTGCGCAAGTAGAAATAATGAAAACAAAATAATGTAAATGCTACCTACAGATGTAGCAGGAAATATAGTGTCCCAATATGGTAGCTTTTAAGTTCCAGCTGATATTTAGCCACATAATTTTAGGATGTTATTGTTGAATTTTATTTTTATTCTTACTAAGCCTAATTGATTAGGAGAGAGCTTTCATTATGAGAATAAGGCTGTGTTTAATTTCCTGGAACTACCAGAGTCATTGTTATAATAAATTTCATAGAATGTGGAGTTATAAAATTAATATTGGTGATTTGTTGCTTGTTAAAATTTTCACCTCTTCTATTAAAGCCTATTGGAGTGATGTACAGTTACTGTCTGTTCTCTGTTGTAGGGCTGTTCTCCATCGGTAGGTGAATATGGATGGGAAGTTCTCTGGAAAGCTTGTTGCCTAGTCTGGATATTTGGCTTTGGGCAAGGAAAAGGAGGTTGGGTGAAGAGACCTAATCAGACCATTTGATGCTAATTTCACAGGTGGCTGGTCACTGTGAGCCCAACTGTTATTTATAGAGCTGTAAGTGGTTGTAGTACACATAGGAGTCTGAAAGGAAGGTTTCACACTGGAATATAGTGGTAGAAGCACAAAACTAGGATCTAGGAATAAATGGTCATTGGTAAGTCCCATGGCTAAAGTTAAAAGAGATCATTAGTGACTGTCATGGTTTCCACTCTCACCTCATGATCTTTCCAGAGCCCTTTAGAAAATAAGCAACAAACCATACAGAAGCAACCATAGTCTCTTTCTTGTTATTATTATTGACCTTCCTGAGTGGTGCTCAGTCAGTTCTCTGCAAATTAGTCTAGTGGTCCAATATAAGGACCCGGGGATGCAGTTCTGCATAGGCCCTGCAGTACCAAGAGTATCACCTTGGCCACCCCATGACTTGGAGACCTCCAGGACTTTATAAAAAAGATGCTTGCTGCTCAGAGGACCACATGATGTAGGGATCAAACCAGGGTTAGTCTCATGGCAGGCGTGGACCTGAACCCCTGTACCATTTTAAATTTGGGTTTGTGGGTTTTTAATTAGGTTAATCCAGGGACTGTTGCAATCATAGATTAAAGAACCCTATGTTAAACAATTAGGCTTTTATTTCAAGAGCCAAAAGAACACAATCATTTCCTTCTCCTTTTTCCCTTGTTCTATACCTTCACTGATGGAGAAATTGAGATCTAGCAATGTTGCTTAATCAGCCCAACTCCACCCCTAGCAGTGAAGGTGCAACTGAAATCTGGACCTTGAATCTTCCTGATCTAGTTTTATTTCAATTTTTTTTGTCCTATCCTTAAAGTTCACCTTTCTTTCTTTAAAATAGACTGTTTTCTTCAGAGCCCAAGTAAAGGTTGTTCTTTGTTATGATATTTTTCTCAGAATTATATGTAGCACTGTAGCACTGTCCTCCCATTGTTCATGAATTTGCTCAAGCAGGCACCAGTAATGTGTCACAACAAATTGTGAGACTTGTTGTTACTGTTTTTGGCATATTGAATACATCACGGGGAGCTTGCCAGGCTTTGCCGTGCGGACAAGATACTCTTGGTAGCTTGCCGAGCTCTCTGAGAGGGACGGAGGAATCAAACCTGGGTCGGCCATGTCAGCGGTATGCAAGGCAAATGCCTTGCCTGCTGAATTATATGAGAGGTCATAAACTGGTTCTTATTGTTTTAACTTTTTAAAGTATAAAATAGTATTCAAAATTCCTTTTGTTGGAAAAATGCTTGCCTACTACCACCAGCTTTAGAATAATGCCAGTGCCGCTTTGGTGATAGGTGGACCTATGTGGACACTGGGATTAACTAGTAGAATAAGAAAACAATAAGAAGCAGCTTGGTTAGCACAGTAGTAGGTAGTAGGTAGTTTTTGGAGGCAGGCACTGTGAATCAGTTCAGCCTTGCCATCATCACTGGAGACCAGTTCTCCTAAGGAGAACTCTTTTCCTCTCTGCCCCAGTCTCAGTGGCCTATTCACAGAGAACTAGAGTAATTGTTTGTTTAAAGTTTTACCAGCTAATTATACTGTACAGAATTGACAGGCTTCTCTATTAGAGTATTTCCAGTCTCTTGGAGGCATTTTACCACATTACTTATAAGCTAACCTCAGTGTAAACTGCAGTGGTTGATTTTTGTTTGTTTTTCTCTCTTTTCCCTTCCCACTTGTTCCAAAGGCCACACACAAAGCTCTGGAAACAAGCTGCTTGTAGACTGAAAATTGGCTGCCTTCTGCTGGGTTGTCATGTGTGACTGCTGGGACAAGTAACAAACTTTGGCACGAAGTCCTGAACTCTGTGTTGGACACTAAACATGGACTTTCTAGAAAAAAATACTTGTTAGTCCCCTGCCTGTAAGTAGTGGCAGGAAGATTAACTCAGTATTTTCTGAATCTTCAAGCAACATTTTTTTTTTTTGCTTTTTGGGTCACACCCGGAAATGCACAGGGGTTATTCCTGGCTCTTCATTCAAGAATTACTCCTGGCAGTGCTCAGGGGACCATTTGGGATGCTGGGAATCGAACCCTGGTCAGCCATGTGCAAGGCAAACGCTCTACCCGCTGTGCTATTCCTCTAGCCCCTTCAAGCAACTTTAAAGAAGCTTTTGGATCCCAAATCTGTGGTTCATTTGAGCAGGTCTAAAATAGAAGCCAGGATTTAGGATGTTAATTTATATAAATAGGTTTTAGGATTTCTAATCTTGACTTTTGGTGTATTGTGTATATCAGAGGAAAATTAATTTCAAAGCTTTATGGGATATGGGCTGGAGCGATAGTACAGCAGGTAGGGTGTTTGCCTTGCACGCAGCCGGCCCGGCTGAGCTGGGTTCGATTCCTCCGCCCCTCTCGGAGAGCGTGGCAAGCTATCAAGAGTATCTCGCCCGCATGGCAAAGCCTGGCACGCTCCCCGTGACGTATTCAATATGCCAAACACAAGTAACAACAAGTCTCAAAGTGGAGATGTTACTGGACCCTCTTGAGAAAATCGATAAACAATGGGAGGATAGTGATAGTGACATGGGTTATATTTGTAGGTACAACTCTCGGTCATTGTAGTTGTAAATGTTTTTAACCTCAGAGTTCTTTCATGAGTTTCCAGGTTATAATCCAAGGTTATTATCTACCCAGACTGAAAGATGATTTTTCTCTTTTAGGAAAAGATAATCAGGGAGTGAAATCTTCCATTTAAATAAGAAGAAAAGAAATCACCCCTTGAATCACAACCAAGTTTTTGTAACTCCTAGCATCTTCTGTTGAGAAGGAGCTGTGTACCAGGTTGCTTAATCTGGACTTCTTTATTTTATTTACTTTTAGGGCACTCCCAAGAAGTTCTTAAGGGATTTCTTTGATGTGAGGGTCCAAGGCTATTGTGCCAGGTGATATCAAAGGTCAGATCAGGGTCTCACTTGTTTAAGGCATGCACCCTAACCCTTTACTATCCCTTTGCTCCTGTTTTAATTCTCTTCTTTTGTCTTGCAAGAGTAATCTCTCTGTTTCTGTCTCTGTCTCTGTCTCTCTCTTTCTTACTCTCTCCTCTGTCTCCTTTGCTCTCTCTTTCTCACTTTGCCCTTTTCTCTTTCGCTCTTAACCTGTATACAAATCCGTGGTCCACATATTGTGGTTTTTCCTTTATTTCTCATTGTTCCCAGCTCTGCTCTATTTTTGACCTATTACCTTTGACTTTTGGCAGCAAATTTCTGCTCATCTATTTGTGGCTTCACTGGTATCCTTCTTGACATTGCCAAAACTGACATGACTTGAAGCATTAAGCTTCCTGTGACACTTTTTCCGGCCACATTGAGAATATGTTTGAAATACATGTCATGCTTTGGAGTCTCCAATGGAGACGTTACTGGGCCCGCTCGAGCAAATCGATGAACAACGGGAGGGCCTTTACCTTTACCTTTACATGTCATGCTTTGGAGGTTAGAACATTCACTATAAAGGAGGACTGATACTCCACTGGTACTCTCAGAAGTCAGCTAGGAGGGTTCAGAACTGTGGTGATTAAGGAGGAACTTCTACTTTGGTCCCTGTAACTATATGGTTTGTACTGTGCTGATCACGGGATATTTAAGTAGGTACATGTTTTCCAATTCCCAGTTGGCAGATTTCTCATTAGGATTCAGTTTTCTTGGCCACTTCTGTTGTGCTCACAATGATTTTTCTTTTTTGAAAGCATCTTTACCAGGCTCTTAAGTCTTCCAAGCAGGGGAGAGACCAGAATGCTTTACATTATCCTTCTTTTCTCTTTTTCAGTTTTCCACAGCTATTAGAGAAAGACTTCCTGTGGAATAAAATAAGGGCAAGGGAATGTATGCCTGTGGCATAAAAATGCTATTAGCAAGCTTGAGGCATATCAGAGAGATTGCTCCTAAATGTAACATTTACTGATTTTCAGTTTTTCAGCCCCCATCCCCTACCCCCCTTTGCCTGTTTCTGAGGTCTAAAACTTATTCTGAATTAAAGTATGGACTATTTTTGATCATTTGAATAGATACTACCAATCAGTAGGGAATACATGTACCGACTGAAATGTCTGTTGAAGCCAATTTGTAGTATAGTCATATGAAATAATTTCTTGAGTCAGTAATATAGTTCTGCCTCAAGATCTTGGCCTGGATTTATTCATTCATCTACTGCAGTGCTAGGTAATTTGCTTTTATTGTACTGCTGTGACAGCACTCTCTTCCTATACCTGCTATCCTCAAACTTTCAAATCTGTTTTCCACTGTTTTACTAGACATTAAACTACTCAAGGTAGCACCAAGTGCCCGCCACACTATGTTGGGTACATTGTATTGGAAACTGGTTTCAGTTAGATGTCTTTGCCTGATTGCCTGCTGTTGAGAAAAGATAATGTGGCTCTTTAATAAGAACTTTGGAAAGACTTAGATGAATGAGTGGAGCATCAGAGGGAAATGAGTACTCAGCTGCTAACTGGAAATATCTAAAATCTTGGTATGATCTTGCACAACATAGGGATCTAGCAGAAGAGAACTCTTAAGTTCCAGCCAGTGCTTTGAAG